TGTTTTTGTGATGAATCACTATGCTTTCATTATGTTCAATTTGTAACAATGAAATTGGGGGTCACCACAACATGAGGAACTGTGTTAAAGGGTCGCGGCATTAGGAAGGTTGAGAACCACTGTTCTAGAAGGTAGAAGTGACGTAGCCTGTGAGAAGCTCTGAGAGAAACACTGACCCAATTTGGTAACTAGGGCAAGAGTGGTGCCACGTACCAAGACGAAATGTTGTGGAGGGCAAAAGGAAGAACGAGGCGCAGAGCAGATAAAGGAGGGGTGATCAGTAGGTATGCCCAAATGGTAATGAGCAAATGGAACAGTCTATGGGTTACAATTCAGTTCTGAGATTAACACACTTGAATTTGCTACTTGCACCTATGTTCAGTGCCAACACGTTTATATGACATGGAGAGATGACAGCAGGCCTTTCTTTCTGCCATACGTAAAATATGAGAGTAAAATATGCCTAAGAATAGGGTTGTGCTACCAGTATCTGCAAACGGAATTTCCAGAATTGGGGACACGCACCTTCAAGTTGGCAGCAGGTGCTTTGGAGTCAAAAGATCCTCATTATCACTCACTAGCAAGTCATTTCATCTGCCGGGGACTCAGCCTCTTCGTGTGGAAAAGCAAGTCTTCCCCAGTTCACAAGCCCACCGGCAGGCGGACGCGGCCTGCTGTTTTTATGCATTGAGTCTAAAAGGTATTTTGGATAGGAAGGCTCCTGGAAAAAAAAATAAAATAGACGACCAATGTGTCTTGCCACAGACACTGTAGTATATTCATCCACAGAGTTTAAAGATGACAAGTGGGTTAAGAAAATTTAGGAGTAAGTTGTTCTAAGGGCATTTTGTGGAGAAAATATATATAAACAATTATAGACAAAATTATAAAGTGCCTGGAATCTTAAAAGAATATACAGAGCGGACATTTTTTTTTTTTTTTTTTTTTTTTTTTTAACTGCTACATAAACAGTACTACAAGCTGATTCCACAATGCTAGGTCATTATATTTACTCAGAACTTCTAAGTTGCCAACCTAATGTAGCTCTTTCACAAAACACAATTCACTGGGCCTCCACATTGGCAATGCGATCAAGTTGGAGATGCGGGAATCAATATTATGAGACAGAAAATCCTGAGTTATCTTGATTATACTGTCTTTATTACCAGCGTGGTCGCTCTATGATTCATATACATTTAAAGAAACTATAATAGATCATGTCTCTTTCTTTTTCCAAGTTCCCAAGCAAAAGGGGCCTCCTTCATATTATAGCTTCCTATTTTCGCCACTTAAAATTAGATGCGTATTTAGAAAAGGCTCTTAGCTCTCTTACTACCTTGAACAGTTAAAACAAATGCACAGAAATACTTGTACTTTCTTAGGATGCTCAAAATAGTTTTTAGTAAGGCCACCAGGTCTAGCTCTGATCGCACAAATGTTTGCTTTGTGCAACTTTTTATCTCTATGTCATCTTGCAGTTTTAACTTTGGAGTTCTTCAAAAGGACTTTAAGTGCTAATGTTATTTTACGCCTAAAATAAACTAAAATTTTATAAAGTACTATAGTCTTACAGATTATGCATTTAAGATCCTAGAGAAGTATAAAATATATTTGTCGTTAAATATAAAAAGAGGAAAATCATATTTTGTTTCACATACACAAACAGATCGAGCCTCATAACCTAAAGGATACGCCCAAGCCCCACTTTTAGGAAAAAGAGCACCCATTTGTTTTTTCACTCAAACCCACATCTAAAATTCAAATATTACTCTTCCCAGCCCCCCTCCGCGCCCCCAAAAAAGCATGCCAAAACAATCAGCCTCATTTCTGGTGAGTTCTCTAACACGTCGGAAGCTGTTAAATATACCCTGGGCCCGTGACCTATCCCTTCGATGCCTCAGGAAGGCCTAGCCAGACCAGATACACCCCACTTCCAACAAGCACGCCCCTCCCTCTGGCTCAGGTCCCCCTTCCCATCTGCAGTCCTCCCCATCCTCCCTCTCACATATGCGCTCTTCAAAAGGCCGGCCTGCTGCTTTCTGAGAGGCAGTGCCGGCTCCCCCACTCTCTCTCCTGGATTCCGAAGGTCCTCCCTTTCTAGAAAGCACACCCATGTGGGTCTCTATCTCCATTTCTTTTTCCTCTCCCCTCCCCACTGCCCAAGCTAAGACCTCTGAGGACGGTGCAAAGAGGACAGTGGGGGGACTGCTCCCTTACGTTCAGGTTCCCAGCGCCTGGAAGTGCCCGATAACGGGGTGCTTCGATAGCTGCGTCAGGG